TATATATATATATATATATATATATATATATATATATATATATATATATATATATATATATATATATATACACAAGCAAAACGCGATATAAGCGAATTCTACCATTTCCTGTCCTTAAAGTAAGTGTTTCAAGTACTTAATATTTCAAAGACATGACTGTTAATAAAAGAATATAGGGGCTGAATCGTTGTCTTCCTCCACAGGCGAGGTGTGCCTTAAGCCTCTCTTTAATTTTTGCATTATTGTGAAACATTTGTCACGCGACAAGCGTGAGATTTAAGGCACTGGTATAAGAATATAAAGCGCGACCACAGATAAAATGATAGGGAAATTTAATACATTATGCGGCTAACGCAGTTAGTATGACGTCATTCATTTGAAAGTTATAGTACAGTTAAAGTTTGAAAACAACAATTTTAACGCATTTTTATTTCATTATATAGGCACGTATTTCTGGAGTTTGCAATTATGGGTAATTGTGTTTATAATGATGCAAAACCTTACGTTATGCTGAAAGACAAAGTGACGTAATCTCCTGACTGCATAACCGCGTACAGAAAATTACATGCTAACGGTTGAAAATTTAATTTTGCAAAACCATTAACACAGACAACATGCAGTAATCTTTTTGGCTTTTGAGTTTTGGCCAGAAAAAGTGATATAATTCTATATATATATGCATGATTACGGTTTGGATCTCTCGCGTACAGTAATTATATCTCATGTTTTAGAATAAAGACATAATTTTACATAAGGCAATTTTTGCTATGTTATCTTAAACGTAGTCACAGGTAAATTGTGAGCATATATACATGGGCAAAGTTTTACACTGCCGTCATTTTCATCCCATTTTTTTTAAATAAACAGTACTAATGTAAATTTTCCCACATGAGATGCAAATTAGATGGGCACTTGCAGAACGGCAGGAGGGGGCATGTATAGTACCGTGACAAAATAGTATATGGTATAGTTTTGTTTGAAAATGTAGACATCCATTCACTATATAAATTTCTTCGTCCTTCGAGCATTAATATATTTGTATTAAATCAAGTGAAACCACACGATTTGTTTTGTGAGCGGAATGTTATGTCATTAACAAAACGCTATATAAGCGATTCTACCATTTCCGGTCATCAATTGTTTCAAGCACATAACATTTCGAAGACATGCATTAATGCTGATGAAAGAATACTATTGAAAACTGTGTTATTCTGTTATTAATCACTTATTATAACCAAACAGCTAGAGATAATAACCGGTTACAAGCTGCCTCACTTTACTGCTAGTATATGTACATAGATATAATAAACCCTATCCTATATTTCTCTCAGGCCTTCACAGAAACAATGTTATCGTTTAGTGTAATAATTAATATTATATATCATACTGATAAATTAACAATTCTTTCTGATTGGTCGTACTCATGCTAATTCAATTAGGTCATTTGCAACTTTACGGCATTATAGGCTACTGTACCCAAGTATGCATGCATATGACATATTATACAAGTGTTCGTAAATAGTGTTCAATATCAACGACAAGTTGTAGAAATCCTCATTCGGTCAGAGCCTAATCAAAACAAGAGTCAAGACTATAAGCTAACATATATTTACCTCTTGTCAAAACCACGATTATCTGCCATTGCTTCACTTCACACGACAGAATGCCTAAGCTCGATGTTCAGCCACAATCGATCAGTTGTGATAGCTCAAGCTCAGTTCAACGTTCAACAGGTTATACGTGTATGAAAGAGAAATCATATTATGTCGAGTTTTAACATTTGAGTATGACGTCATTCATTTGTGATGACTAGTTATAAGTAGTTTTAATGCTGCATTCCTGCAAGTTTCAGAAAGACAAATTCTTAACATATATTAATTTTTTTTATTTCCGAATTTGTTTTGACGTTCATGTCAGAGCCACACGCCCACAGAATTAAAAACATTACCAATTATCACCAATTATGATTATAATGACGCAAGTATCAGGATCACGCTGGAACGAAGAACTTGACCGGTCATGCACCACAAAATTATTCAGACCCCCAGGACCCAGACAACTCTTACTAAAATTTTGAATGTTTTAAGATTCATCTACAGTAATCGCTTAATTATATATATATATATATATATATATATATATATATATATATATATATATATATATATATATATATATATATATATATATATATATATATATATATATATATATATATATATATATATATATATATATATATATATATAGTATAAACATATACCAATCTAGCATGGATGACCACATAAAATTTGAAATTTTAATGCTATAAAATCTTGTGATATCATTAGTTACGTAATCTCTGATATCATTGCCCCCCCCCAGAAGTAGAGGTTTGGCTCTGTACAAAGAACACTTTTGCAAAATGACATATTTGATATAAAGTCCTACTCATGATTCATTTGATATATTTAATATTCAATTCTCAACTTTTTACTGTAATTATGTAAATATACAAATATATATATATAGTCTACAACATATAATAAACAAATGAAATGAAATAATTTGTTTGTAGTATACATACCAATCTAGCATGCATGGATGACCTTGGCAAATAAAATTTTAAATTTTAACATTCAAATATTTATGCAATAAAATCTTGTGACATCATTATATATAGTTACGTAATCTTTGATATCATTAGTTACGTAACCTTTAGTTTAAAACCTACATTTTTGAAATAAACACATGACTTTAAATGTTTAAAACAAATTTGAATCAGACCATTACCCAATCAACTAACAGAAAAATATTTCAATAACAAGTAAGTTCGGAGTTGTGAATGCACGCCCAACTGAGTCCAAATAAATGCATGTCTTATTATTCTTAACACTTTGGCACTTCACTACATGTGGCTGCTAAGCACGAATGATTTAAATATGCATGCACACAATAATTGAAATGAGTTCAAATGCTTCAAATGCTTTCTTCATTTTGCTCTACACATCAACTAGACTGTCATATATATTGTGACTATGTGTACAGTGAACCACGAATTGATGTTACACTAAATTGAATACTATGAACTGCCATGGCTCCGTTCATGATACGAAATTATTTACACTGACTCACAACACGTCATTCGGATGCGCTCAAAACTCCGAACTCGCCTTTCTCCTATATTGTATCAAACAGGATGTCCACTCGAGTGGGGGCTGCAAGCATGCAGGCTACTCAAATGCAAAATATCCATGCAATACACACTTCTATAGTATAGCAACTAGTCATAAATACATCGAAATAAAAAAACACACACGAATTTTGAACATTTGAAACGGTCAAACTTACTCAGACCTAGAAATTACTTATCCACTATCTGCTGAACGTTAAGCTTGAGCTTGTTGGAGGTAATAATAAACACCTTTCATTTCTAACAATTTTTGATGTGTTCCTTTTTCAACAACGTGACCAGATTTTATAACTGCTATCACGTCTGCTTTTTGTACTGTAGATAATCTGTGAGCGATTATTAATGTTGTTCGACCCACGCATGCTCTGTCCAATGCTTCTTGAACAACCTAAAAGAAAATACACCAACATGGGCTGTTATAGTTTTGTTTTCGGTTTTTTCGTAGAGAATTTACACAAAAATTCAGATTTTTCAGAGCGAATCAATTTCAAAGCGAATCAATATGAAACTTCGAAAAACGTTGAAATATCGTCGAGAAATGTAACGGTGTAGAATCCTGAACGTATATATACATTTAGACACTAAAATGTATATACTGAACGTATAGCTATATATATATATATATATATATATATATATATATATATATATATATATATATATATATATATATATATATATATATATATATATATATAT